GTAGTCAACAGCTACTGTCCCTGTAAGAGTCTGTACTCCCACCTTCTGATTCTGCCTTTTTCTACTTGTTGTATAGCACAAACAAGGCAGTGAAATAACTTCTACATAAACCCTGCACAGAAGTTCCTGGATGAGGCATTTTACTGTGCCCCAGCCTAACTTCTGGCAGAATGCAACCACTATTCCAACTTTCAAGGAGTCGCTATTGAATGCGGGTCCCTTTCCTAAGGGCAAGCTGCCTATATTGAGCTCAGTATTTATAATTGAAGAGCATGCCACAGAGCTCTGACTTCTAAAGTTTTGAAAACAACCTTCTACATGTGAATCAAGCACAGGCAGTCACCTTTGCTCTGGCTGAGTCTGGAAAAAGCCTGAAACAACAGTTCTGAACAGGACTGAACTGCCTCACTAAAGAGGGGGCTGGCTAGCGTTACTCAACTGGAACACAAAAACCAACCTGAAAGTGCAGTTTTCATCAAGCTTTGTTGGATCGACCTGAAGTCCAACTGGTTTGAAAACTGTTTTATCCAGTCATAAGAGCTGAAGTGAAAAATGTGATTAGATATTGGAAGAAGCCAAGAGGTAAAGGGGAAAGCAAGATCAACCCCTTCAGCAGCAGTTTCCAGTGAAATCAAATTAAACTTATCACAAAACCACTCTTATTTTCACAGAAAGACCCAGCTAAGAGCTACCACTGTTGACCTTGGCAGAAAGCACTGTGGCAAGAAACAGGAACTAGCTGTCATCAGTGGTAAGGAGGCACCAAGATGTGTACCATGAATTTTGGTCAGGAATTTTTCAGCAAGGCTGCTTTCAACCATAACATACCAGTTTGTTGAAATACAAAAGGGCACATTTTCTTTGGACAAGAGCATTACTCTAGGATGATTTCATAGTAAAAAATGAAGCAAAGCCATCCTTCCCAGGAAAAACACCACCACAGTAGTCACTAAGGGTACTTGCCCGCTACGCAAGTGACAGATTCAGGTTCATGGTCTAAACCCAGTGGAACAGAAACTTGGGTCTCCTGCATCACAGGAGAGGATGTTAGCTAAAGAGGTACCAGGTAATCCATAGAAAATTTCTTGTTCATGTTTCTATCTTTCCACTCACTCTCCCTGAAAAGATCAATTGAATCTGTTCTGAAGCAGAATAGAAGAATCTTCTTAAATGTCACCAAGTTTTCTACAAAGCAAAGCTATTCTCCTATCAGTTAGTAATAACCCTTGCCATACCTATCAAAAGACAACACTTTTCACCTCCTAACTTCTGAACCTTTTTACCACTCCAGTCCTTGACTCTGTAGACCTTACTGTATCAGAGAATTATCTCTGACTCTGCAGAGAAACTTGAGCATCTCATTTAATAGTGCTGCAAAGACCAGAGAATAAAACTAGGCAGACTATTGGCCACAGGGCATTAAAAGCATCAGCTTCCTAAAAGGTGAGACCTCAGGAGCATTGAAGCCATCAATATTCCTTAAGACATTCTCAGAGATCAATCCCTGTGCTTCTTACACACTGCATTACACCACTCTGAAATGCACTGTGACCCCAGGCTAACGCATGGTTGCCTCGTTGCCCCTAGTAATCAGTCAGCTGCTGTTCCTGTTACCAGATTTGGACTCCTCTTCCAAGCAACAGACAGTGGTTACTTCCATCCAGAAATATCATCTGCTGTGTGATGATAACCCCAAATGGTTAAAGCTTTGCACCTGACCTCAAACTACCCTGACAATTTTTATAAAAACACCCCCCCCACACACCTGCTAATGTACACTGGAACATGAGATCAACTTGAGCCTGCAGCTTACCCTGCCATTCCACTTTGAACTTCACTAGCTGTGAGGGATGAAAGCATGAATGGGTTAAAAAGGGTCCAGAAATGTACATAGTTTCCCCAGAAAAGAGGATAGAGAACATCACTGCCAAAGTAGGTATTTCAGGAAGTCCTGCCACCAGATCTAACACTAGTTTGACTGTAGAACTGTTCTGCAGTGTCTCATGTCCCTAGTTAACCCTTCTCCCAGCTGCACTATACAGCTTAGAAATGAACTTGATGAGACATGAATAATACACAATGCCCATCATTAGTTCTTGTTACTCAGCAGAAAATCAATACATGCTCTGTTACAGCGCAGGACATGCTGTTACTCTAGTCCCTGTGCTCTGAGGAAGCAGTTCCCACAGCCAAGCTTTACACAGCCTGCAGCAGGGGAAAGGTGGGATGATCCCAGCAACAAGGATGCTGAAAGCCTTGGCTATTGATGACAAAATAGGTTTTTGGAGGTAACTGGTACCACAAACTTTAGAAAGCTTTGGACATTTCATTGCTGGGAGATCTCAGCCTCTCCTTTTTGCCAGATAAGCTGGTATCAGGACACTGTGGAACATTTTAGGAATGCTGCACTCTTATTCTTAATTTTGTTAGTTAAAGCTCTGCTGCTTACAAGCACAGTAAAATCCCATATCTATATTTACAGCTATGTACCTGTATTCACAAGATCCCTAACTTAGTTAAGACAACTAAAAAAAAAAAATGTCATCATCGTGATAGAAACTATACAGTCCTAGTTTACAGTGGGAGAACTGAGGCACAATTAGGCAGAGATATGATCATGGCCATATATCCAACACAGGGAAAAATGGGAAGTGATGGAAAATAATTATTTGGGTCCTGCAAGATCATTTGTGCTCACCTTCCTGCCTGGCATCCACTTAAGAGCTGTTCACTATGTGGGTGTTCTGCAGGCTGGCAACCACACAGAAAAGAGTCATTTCAGAACACGTGCGAAAAAGAAAAGGCATTTATGCCAAAACCAGCACAGAATAAGCGTACTGTGAACAGAATGGGGAACTCTTCAGGCCAGATTCTCCAGGGACGTCTGTGCCGAGTCACATTCTGTATTGACTGGCGTTTTTCAGTACTTGCTATCCACGTAGCAACTAAGCTTACTACAAACATGAATGGATTTCGCTCTACAAGGCAGGGAAACCATCACAATTTTGCAGGCAGGACAGTAGTGCACTAAGATTGAATTGTTTTCCCAGGGAACACAGAGAAGGGCAATGTCAAAACCACAAGCTGAACATAGATGTCCTGGGATTCACAATTATGCTGCAAACAGTGTCACTTTTTTCCACCCCTCTAGATAGCCTCTTTCAAGTAATCACATGGCATTGCTTTACCAACTCTGCTGAAGCAACAGCTACCTGCAGTTCATGACAAGTCTTTTGCAGCCTACAGTAACATAACCTGACAGGTTGGGCAAGAAGTGAAGAATGACTGTTTTCCCACCTGGAACCAGAGGACAAACTCAAATCTGCAGGTAACTCAACCAAGCCAGTCTGTGGCTCAGTTAATTATCTCAGGTCACTGCCAGAACACATGGGATTATTCACAATCACAACAATCCAAGTGCTTTCACATCCCAGGTCCACAGTCCTTTTACAACAGTATGGTGCACAATCTTTGTAAAACAGTGCAGAAGATGTGTCACATTCAAACAGTGAATGCCACTTCCTAGGAGATCTTCCATGCAAGCAACACTGTGAGACCAATGCCCTGCTGTTTGTGGGGCCCTGCCTACGAGGCACAGTGCAGGATAAGAAAGAAGAGCCATTAATAGATAGTGTGCAGTGATAAGGAAGAGAAACCAAAAATAAATCTCTTCTCCCCGAGTAGCTTCCTGTGTGTCAAACAGAATGCTGTGACTGAGTTATTGTAAAACCCTACCTGCTGGTGTAATTGAAAACCTTGCAGCACTGCCTGTTCTTGCACTGCCTGATACTGTGTCAAGAGGTCTGTGCAACACAGGCATTTTAAACCAGCCTGATCAGGGGGTAAGAAAGACCCCAAAGACACAGGTAAAAGCACACCTGCCTCAACAGTAACATTCAACTACAGGGACAAGTGTTCACTGTGTTATCCATTCCATTTAAAAAGAAAAAAAAAAAGAGAGAGAGGCAGCCTAATGTAATTACTTTTATCTACCCTATCAACACCACCAACACTGTGGGAAAACAAACAATACTAAGAAGCATGGACAGGTAGTACCTGTAGGAGAAACTGGCCGTGAAGTAAAGCATGACTGAGTCAGTGCACTCACATAATTTTTACCATAGTCATGTTTGTCTCCCTCCTTGTTTCCAGAAACTCAGTCTTCACGTAATTTGAGATAGCTCTGGAAGGACTAACCCGGTTCATCTTTCTCACTCCTCTGGTCTAACACTGCTAATGGTGCAACAGCTTTCTCTGTAGATCTGGCCACCTGAAACTACTTCTAAAATATACTGCATTCAAATCTATGCACAGGGATGGTCCTCTCCCAACTACAATCAGAACTCAATAAAGTGAATACAGTCGTTCTGTATGCTGCAACAGGAAAGTTAACTCTAAATATACCCTGAAGATACCAAGCCAGTCCACAGGAAGCATTTACACAGCAGCTAAAAGGTTTTCAAAAGTTTTACATTAAGACTATGTTGACAGATCATTAGATTTTCTACCTAACAAAATTTCGACCTCTCTTCCATAGCAGATCATCTATTGTCTTAAACCTTTTATCCAAAAGTAAAACATTTTGAAACTTTTTTCTTCCCCTCCCCAAACTGAAAGAAATTAGATCCAGATACAGAAAAGGGGTGTGCGGTAAGTTCTGTGCTGTGCTCTGTGTTAGCTTCTCCCATAACAACCAGAAAACCACATCAGCTTGGGAGACCCCACAGCACTCCAGGCAAGGGGCACCCTCCAAACAGAAAAGTCAAGGAGCATGATGCATCTCAACTACAATTTTCATGAGGTACCACAGCAGCAGTTATATCCCAAACAAAGAACACTAAGTAGCCTGTCAACTTCCATTTCCCAGTCTCTCTAGATAATCTGTCTAGTGTATCAGAATGCTAAGAAGTTAAGTGATCAGTACAGTTCAATTATAATTGATGACAACCGATGGGAATGAGATGATGTTATGTTGAAAGTACAAGGAAATGCTGGCCTACCTGGGGCAATTTCAAAGAGATGTTTCCCTGGTTCATCGGGATTAGGTGGCAGCTCGTTCACCTGATTGCCTTGCAGTAGTATTAAACCCTGTAAGGGACACAAACACCAGTGAAAGGGGAAAGGCCACAAAGAGTAAGGAAAAGAAGATAAACATGACATATATAGGAAATTTAAGCCCCACTCTTCCACTGAGCCCATCTCCTTTCCACCCTTCTGAGCAAGAAAGATTGAGCTGGTCATGAACCTGCCTCACCTGTCCTTTCTCTCACACTGGACACTTCTGGTCAAATGATCTTTCCTCTGGAATAACAATACTCTGAGCACACATAGGTGACCCTCCTTGGTTTCCATTACTCATTGACCTTTGCAAAAGTTTAATCTCACATTACATCTACTCTTCCTTCACCCTTTAATTTCTTGTTGCAACCTGCAGCAATGAGGTGGCTGAAGTTCTCTTTCTAAATCTTTATTTCTGCAAATGAAGAAAATGGCCTGTTTTCCAGAGATTCTCAGTGCACAGAAGTTCCCAGGAAGATACTGGAGGAGAGCAGCTGATTCAGGTTTGCAAGGCAATTGGACCAATCCAAGAGACTATAGTTTCCCTAGCAAGAAGTCTGAGCCCCTATACTTCCCAAGTTCAAATGCTGCCAGAATTCAGATTCATTTTCACCTTGACCCTAAGCATAATTAACACAATGTATTCCAGTTCGGGAATTCTGCATAGCTGGTGGCATAGTATCTTCAAAATGAAGAAAATCATCTTTATCTATAGAAAGGCTGAAAAAGAGATTACAGGAAGCTCTTGTCCAGTAACACAGGTAGAACAAGAACAAACACACTATTTGGACCTCATTGTTTCTCCACTTTTTTTAGTTTAATCTTTGACATTTTAAAGGGTTTCCAGCTAACATTCTTCAGGACATACACACAATAAGACAGACAAAAGGCAGTAAGAACTGGGACTCTCAGGAGTTAGAGCCATGAAGACTGAACTGCCCTGGAATGCAAGCTGGGTCCAAACCATTTTTTTTGCTGAGCAGAAAGAGAAGAAAGAAGTTGTTTCAGTCAGTTGTTTCCACACATATTTCTAGTAAACATGCACAGTTACATTCTCCCAACCAGTCTGGCAACAGCCAAATCCAAGACATATTGGAGCATCATAACATTTGTAATCAAAACAAATACCAGTTACACTCTTTGTCAGCCTCCAGATACATATTACTGAGTAATACAATTAGGGTCTCATGAGACAGACAATCCAGGATTTCAACTGATAGAAGACAACCCATCACATGACCTTTGCAATCTTCTCCATAAAATAGAGAAGCCAGTTGTGTTATTTTTCGTTACATCTGTTATGGCATAAACTTCCTTGGCTTTGTCCCTTGGTAATACATTTTCCTACAGATGCTTTGTTTGGAGAAACCACTGTAATAAACCAAGGAGCCAGCTTGTATTAAATGTAAATGAATTAAGTTTTACTCTTTTCTTTGAACATAGAACATTCAAAAACTATTACAAATAAATTACCACAACAGTAATGCTTAAGATGGAAAATACTTCAGCTAGGAAATAAGCTCCAAGTCATAGAGGTTTAGAAGTTTGCATTTCAGTTCTGACAACACACCCTATTAAAATGACTTGCTGCTTTGAAAGTATCTGTTCGCTGCAGACTGAAAGTGTCTCACAAGTACTCAAATCTGTTCTTTTCAAAACAGAACTCAATCTGCCATGTTACTATAGATTCAGCAACCTGCTTCCATGTTTTGCCATCCCTCAGTGGCATCAGGCTATAGACCTGCATTTAGTTCCTTTTGACAAGCCAGATCAACATTCTAGAGCCCTGTCATCCAGAACTCATGAAACTCTACTCCAGTTAATCACATATTGCAGGTCAGTGCATAGTCAAAAGGTAGAAATGCAAGACACCCTGAATTTGAGTATTCATAGTCTATAGAACAACAAATACTACTCTATATCCAACAGATCTGCATCACCATCCCAGTGTTGCTACATTAAAAAAAAAAAAAAAAAATCAAAAAATAAAAGTTCCAGAAGCAAAATTACCCTGACCACATTGCATATATGCTCAGTGTTCAACTGTGTGGACTATTGCTGCTCCATTTACAGAATGTAAAAGCAAAAATGATCATGAAAAAAAACAAAACTAAACATTCTTAAACAAGTCAGATTTTGCATTGAGGCATTCAGTTTAGCTATCCTTGGTTTTGCTTTGAGGAAATGGTGCATTTACATTTCTATCTCAATTTTGTTTCCTTGCATTTAAAAAAAAAAAAATTCCGTGCTTCATGTAACAGCAAAAGATGGGGTTGGATGTTTTGTAGCATATTGTAAAGTTCTTCATAACACATTTGAGAAATCAAGATTTGAAAGGGGAAAGAAAAACCTGAATGATGACAGCAGGGACAGCTCAGAAGAGCCAGAGAAGTTCAGCCAAACTCTGCAAGGGGCCAAAGCCAGCACCTGCTGGCTCCACAAAGCATCCTAGAGGGGAAGAGTAAAGTGTTAAAGTGGACATCATATATTTCTGTGTGCATTCTGTCCACATAAAAAAACCAACAGCTGCCTGATGCTGGTAGCTAGAGCAATCTGGGAGCAGAGCATGCTGAAACCAGTGAAAGACTATTAAATACTCCTGGTTCTAGGCTACTCAGCCCAGAAATTTATTATTTGCCAGGAGATACAATAAGAAGGAAAAAGATGGAAGATAGAAGTCAACTTTTATCTGAAAAAAGGAAAAAGGCAATCAAAAGAGATATTAAACAGAAAGCTACACATGCTATCCAGCAGTACCTTCCCCTGTGCCCCATTCTGCAATAGGCTGTGCAGCCCAAAACAGCATCATGCAGCCCCACTAGGCAGACATTTGTCTCCTTTCCTGCTGCAGTCCCTGCAAAATGTGGATGTTGCAACTTGCACAGGTGCTCTTCTCCAGGAGCGAGGAAGGAGAAGGGTTGGACCTGAATGACACTCTCCTTCCTCCCTTTCCGCTACTGAAGGAAACAAGGAGCATTGCCCACCAGAATACCAGAGCAGAGCTGCTGTGCCTATGTGATCAGCTGGGGAGTGGGTAAAGGGCTGAACTAGATGAGGATGGGGCATACAGGCAGAGAAGTACCTCTCTGCAGTGTAACCTCCACCATGAAGTCCCAGCTTCCAAGTAAGATCAGATCACCTGTGGAACAGGAATTTCTAAATGGATCAAGTCTCCCCTTCCACATAACTCTAACCCCTTGTCTAAAAGGACAAAATACTTTTGATATCAGCATCCTGGAAAATTAAAGTAATACCATCAATTACTACCTTAGCTAAACTGTCTTCTCCCAGAAAGCAAAGAACAAATTTCCCAAGCATATCTCCCAAGCAAATTAAAGCTCTGTGCACAGTGCAACTCATGAGATTCATGAGAAGTAGAGGTAGTCTCATGGAACATTACGTCAGCCAGGAACAAGGACCAAGCAGTGATCAAGTGAACACAGCATTATTTTCAAAGACAGGACCCTGAACCTTGCTTTTACCCAAGCAGCCTCATATTTTGGCTTGAGCAGGAAGATTGCTTTTCTCAGTCTAGTTTCTATCAGGTAGTTCTCTGAAACAAAAATGGTTTAACTGGATGTACTAAGAGGTCCATGCTCCCTCTGCATCTCTTCTCATACTGAATGCACAAGTTTTAAAATAGTTTCATAGCATTCTCCTAGGGACACCATATTCAAGAGGAAAAATGATCAAAACTGTTAAATGTAAGCATCTGCTTGCTTTACCACAGAAGAAAGTTCCTGGAAAAGAGGTGAGAAAAAGAAGTAGCTCCTATGTCAACCTGAGGCTGAAGCACAAGGGAAGGCATGTGGATAGATGGAAGTGTCACAATTCTTTGTTTTGTCTTTAAAAAAACCTTCTTTATGAAAAACAGACCCTAAAGTTTTAATACTGCACACAAATTCAAACCCTTTCCACTTCTAGGAGTATATGGAACATCCCTAGGGAAATGGTGAAATGGCAGCACAAGCAGAACTAAAATAAAATATCTAAGTTGCACAATTGAAACCAGAAAGGATTTCAGAATAGCTTAAGACAAGAATGTCAAGAAGCCACAACAAAGGACCCTGAAAAAAAATCACAAAGTTGGCTAAAAAAAACCAAAAAAGAAAAAAAAAAAGCAGCTCTTAAGGTAATTTTGTTGGTTTAACTTAAATTCAGTGGTTTTTCATTCTCAGCTGTAAATTTACATTTTCAGGTCATTATCTTATTAACAGAAACTAGAATTGTACATATAGCAATAAAAACTAATATGGTTCAGTTGATTCCAGCTGATTAGACTTTCAGAGCTTCAGGTATCACTGGAAAGCTGGCAATAGCTATTTTCTGTCAGAAGATGTAATCCTCTTAAATGCTAACAGCTGCTTTTCTTTGGGGGCTAATTTACATTTTGCAGAAAGAAAAATTGTTAAAGAGACAGCAACTCACTCTATCTCTTCCTTTAAGGTACAGTCCTCTCTTAAGAAGCCCTCCAAGCAAATCCAGCCAGTCTCAAAATGGGCAGTGCCTACAATCCAGCACGAAATAAAAGTTAGGCCTTCCTTATCCATTAGTACAAGGCAAGCATAAATCCCCATTTGAAACAGTTACCTAAACCTCACATTTATAATCAAGCAGAACTCAGGACCCTGAATCAAGCCCTGTGTTACTCCAGAAAAAGGCACTTTTTTGTGGAGGGTTCTTTCCCTAAGCCTGAATTAGTAAACTTGGCAAATACATAAATTCAGGTCACACATTTTAGGCAAAACCCAATGATATATAAGCTAACTTTTTGCTATTTTATAGCATGGAATGGTGAAGATGTACAGCAGTACATACAGACCAGGAGATTCAGAATGTATTTACAGTGAAGAAGAACAGGAGCAGTTCACAGAAAAGTGCTGTCATACTAAAGAGTTTCAGAAAGCCCATCTTTCTGCAGGAAACTGAAGTCAGTGATGAAGTCAAAAGGTTAACCCAAAACCTCACAATGCAGTGCCTTCCAGAAGTTGTAATTTGCATGACTCAGGTCACCCTTCTCCTGAAACAAA